TGTCCAGGGTGATGTCAGCACAGATGTCATGTCCAGGGTGATGTCAGCACAGATGTCATGTCCAAGGTGATGTCAGCACAGATGTCATGTCCAGGGTGATGTCAGCACAGATGTCATGTCTAGGGTAATGTCAGCACAGATGTCATGTCCAGGGTGATGTCAGCATAGATGTCATGTACCGACATATGTCAGCACAGATGTCATGTTCAGGGTGATGCCAGCACAGATGTCATGTCCAGGGTGATGCCAGCACAGATGTCATGTCTAGGGTGATGTCAGCACAGATGTCATGTCCAGGGTGATGTCAGCACAGATGTCATGTCCAGGGTGATGTCAGCACAGATGTCATGTCCAGGGTGATGTCAGCACAGATGTCATGGCCAGGGTGATGCCAGCACAGGTGTCATGTCCAGGGTGATGTCAGCACAGATGTCATGTCTAGGGTGATGTCAGCACAGATGTCATGTCCAGGGTGATGCCACCACAGATGTCTTGTCTAGGGTGATGCCAGCACAGATGTCATGTCTAGGGTGATGCCAGCACAGATGTCTTGTCTAGGGTGATGTCAGCACAGGTGTCATGTCCAGGGTGATGCCAGCACAGGTGTCATGTCCAGGGTGATGTCAGCACAGATGTCATGTCTAGGGTTATGTCAGCACAGGTGTCATGTCTAGGGTTATGTCAGCACAGATGTCATGTCTAGGGTGATGCCAGCACAGGTGTCATGTCTAGGGTGATGCCAGCACAGATGTCTTGTCCAGGGTGATGCCAGCACAGTTGTCTTGTCCAGGGTGATGCCAGCACAGATGTCATGTCCAGGGTGATGTCAGCACAGATGTCATGTCCAGGGTGATGTCAGCACAGATGTCATGTCCAGGGTGATTTCAGCACAGATGTCATGTCCAGGATGACTTCAGCACAGATGTCATGTCCAGAGATATGTCAGCACAGATGTCATGTCCAAGGTGATGCCAGCACATACGTGTCTGTAAGTGTAGCATTCTCTATTTATGTGCTGACGAAGGTTTTCTAGCCGCAACGTTTGTCGTGTATAAATGTGATAATGTGAAGCCGGCTAGTTCTACTTATCACTTGGTTTGAAATCTGGAGTCAAACAATCTATACCTGATCCCGTGCGCAGAAACAATCCAGCTGGCTACATGTGTCAGCAAACAGTTCTGTATGAACCATTTCTTATTGCATGCTGATTGTTAAATTCATAGGCGTTAGATTCAAAAAGAGAGGCAATCAGTCCATGGGAAGTTGAAACAAGAACAAATCCAGTGAAGATGGCACAAGGACACAACAGCTAGAGAGATGTACGTTTTCTTACTTTGATCGCGGTACAGTGTCTGACACAACTGCTAGAGAGATGTACGTTTTCTTACTTTGATCGTGGTACAGTGTCTGACACAACAGCTAGAGAGATGTACGTTTTCTTACTTTGATCGTGCTACAGTGTCTGACACAACTGCTAGAGAGATGTACGTTTTCTTACTTTGATCGTGGTACAGTGTCTGACACAACAGCTAGAGAGATGTACATTTTTTTACTTTGATCGCGGTACAGTGTCTGACACAACAGCTAGAGAGATGTACAGTTTCTTACTTTGATCGTTGTACAGTGTCTGACACAACAGCTAGAGAGATGTACAGTTTCTTACTTTGATCGCGGTACAGTGTCTGACACAACAGCTAGAGAGATGTACGTTTTCTTACTTTGATCGTGGTACAATGTCTGACACAACAGCTAGAGAGATGTACAGTTTCTTTGATCGTGGTATAATGTCTGACACAACAGCTAGAGAGATGTACATTTTCTTACTTTGATCGTGGTACAGTTTCTGAAACAACAGCTATCTTTCTTTAATATACTTATGGTGATTATAGCGTTAGTGACGTACAAGTATGTTTGTCAATGGTGATTAAAACGTGATTATACATTGGTCCTATAATAATCATGTTCCACATAGAATGGCTCTATTAGTGGATGTTTCTAAGTCTAGATTAAGCAAATTGTATCTCATTAAATTGAGACAAATTGAATATAAATTCACGCTTCATGGGATGGATATTACCTGACCTGTGGTCCGTGTTGTCGTGGGTTTGAGTCCTAACAGAGCCGTACTTTCAGGTCAACCCAGCCTTGAGTGGGTGCCAGGTAGAGAGTAAAGGAAGCCAGTGTGACTCTGACCACCTCACCCACCAAGTGCCTACTGGTCTATACAGTATGGGTCCGGCCCTATATGCCCAATACGTATTTCAGTCCATGTTGATCTGCTTTCTGGTTTCAATGTCTTGCTTTGTCGTACCCTAAGTATGTTCTTGAGACGATCACGTGTCGAGTGTTATTGATGGTCACGTGTGGTTATTTGACTCAAAGGTCAACAAAACAATCCAACCACTTGAGGCAACTGCTCGGGGTCTCGGGGTCAGGGGAGATCTTTCCTTTAACCACACGAAGGTTCTTGATGTTGACTGGCTGAAGTTTGATGAACACTAGAAGTGCCCGCTTCCTGGCTGACAGCCACCGGAAACGAGCATATTGTTCGCCGGACACACCGGCATACACAAAGTGTGGGGAGTCGGTGGAAACAACACGATACATTTCTGTTCAAAGTATTTAACTACAAGTAGGTGCTCTGTGAGCGAATCCTCGTTGTTCAACTTGTCCTTCTGGGGAAACATGAATGTAGTGCTTGATGCTGTGTTGTCTCCTCTTGGTTGTACATGGTTTTAATTTCCGACACTATTCCCCCCGACGTGCAAAACTTCCCAGGGATGAAACAATCATGGGTCACATTTAATGTAGTCTGACTCTCTGGACCAACCTTTGAGTTTAAATATCAGTGCACGGCACAGCTAGAGTGTCCACTTTGTACTAGACATTAGGCAAGTGATCAATATGAATAAGGAGAATAGTATGTCAATGCCTCCAGTATAAGCAATAGTAGATGGTATGGCACCAGTTCGACTACTTCATAAAGTCTCTGATTATCTTGGCAGGATACAGCGGTAGCTGAAGGGAATTGTAGTTGTTGTTGCGAGGATGTCGTGAAGATGGCGGGTAAACAAGAGGATGGGTATGTGGTGATGTGTAGGCTGGGAAGCGGGAGTCTCAGCACGACTGGTAGACCTTGAGCTGGGAAAGGCAGCAGATCCGACAGCTTCAGTAGCCGTTCACAAACAATGTCATCCCTGAGTTTTTACAGTTCAAAAACAATGTCGTCACTAAGTTTTTACAGTTCACAAACAATGTCATCACCGAGTTTTTACAGTTCACAAACAATGTCATCACCGAGTTTTTACAGTTCACAAACAATGTCATCACCGAGTTTTTACAGTTCACAAACAATGTCATCACCGAGTTTTGACTGTTCACAAACAATGCCATTACCGAGTTTTTACAGTACACACAAATCTAAAAAGTCACTTAATATTATTCAGCTGATCTTCATTTGTGTTTTAAATTAAATGAATCTCACATACAAACGTCGTTGATAAACTCTTGATTTCACATACAAACTCTGGACCAACTGAAACATCTGCAACTAAGACAGAACTGTGGTCTGGATGAATCCTGCATAACTACAGCATCTGGGTCCGGTGACTCTACCGCCTTGACCATGTCCACACAATCCTCACATCTCAGATGTCTACACAGGTGCAGACACATACACACGTGCAGACACATAGACACATGTAGACACATTCACACGTGTAGAAACATATACAGGTGCAGACATATACACACGTGCCGACACAAACACACGTGTAGACACATACACACGTGTAGAAACATATACATGTGTAGACACATAGACACATGTAGACACATTCACACGTGTAGAAACATATACAGGTGTAGACATATACACACGTGCCGACACAAACACACGTGTAGAAACATACACACGTGTAGAAACATATACAGGTGTTGACATATACACATGTGCAGACTCATACACACGTGTAGACACAGACATACTTGATAGGGAATGAGGGAGACAGACACACTTTTTTTGGTCACTTTACCTGTTTGTATATGACAGTCTGACTGAATCAGATTTCATATATATATATATATATATATATATATATATATATATATATATATATATATATATACACACACACACCCAGGCATAGATATATGTATGTATGGACACACATTTACATCGATGGATCATTGGAGCGAGCACACACACACACCCAGGCATAGATATATGTATGTATGGACACACATTTACATCGATGGATCATTGGAGCGAGCACACAAAACAGAGGAGCTGAATCGGTTATCATGCTGCAAGATGAGACCACAGTAGAAACGTCATGCGCCTCTAGAAGACTCAGCAAACTTCAGAGCAAAGCAGCAAGCAATTTTTGATGCAGCCATCCAATGAAAGAAAAATTAAAAACCAGCAAAATTGTTTTTCTTTGTGACTGCATTTCAGTCCTCCATGCGACTCAGAGAGATCCAAGAGACAACAATGAGAGAGAAATAACCCTGCGGCTAAACAGAGAACAATCAAATCGTTCTCTAGTGGATCCTGGCTCACTACGGCATACCAGGAAATGAGTTAGCAGACAGACTTGCAAAATATGGTATAAAGGAGAAACAACACACACATCCAGTGCCAAAACCAGAAATCAAAACACTCAGCAAAGATTTAAGAAGAAGAAGAAGAAGAAGCATCGTTGAGCACAAGCAGAATTTGGAACTACACCGGAAAAGCCAGCATCTGGGTAACTCAGACAAGGTATCAATGTCTCATAGACAGTGACGGTCCCTTTCACACTTCTGCCACAGTCAAGCCCTTCGTCTTCTTTTTCTTCTTCCTCCTCCTCCTCCTCCACCTCATCCTTCTTCTTCTTCTTTTTAATACTTCTGGTTTCTTTACTTCTGGTTTCTTTACTGCTTCTGGTTTCATGATTAATTCCTTTGGGGGTGGGGGGGGGGGGGGGGAGCTTTCGCTTGTATCCGTCCGGAGCATTGACACATCGTGCTGTTGTCGCTTGTATCTGTCTCAAGCATTGACACATCTTGCTGTTGTCGCTTGTATCCGTCCGGAGCATTGACACATCTTGCTGTTGTCGCTTGTATCCGTCCCGAGCATTGACACATCTTGCTGTTGTCGCTTGTATCCATCCCGAGCATTGACACATCTTGCTGTTGTCGCTTGTATCCGTCCCGAGCATTGACACATCTTGCTGTTGTCGCTTGTATCCGTCCGGAGCATTGACACATCGTGCTGTTGTCGCTTGTATCCGTCCCGAGCATTGATACATCTTGCTGTTGTCGCTTGTATCCGTCCCGAGCATTAACACATCGTGCTGTTGTCGCTTGTATCCGTCCCGAGCATTGACACATCGTGCTGTTGTCGCTTGTATCCGTCCCGAGCATTGACACATCGTGCTGTTGTTGCTTGTATCCGTCCCGAACATTGACAAATCGTGCTGTTGTCGCTTGTATCTGTCCCGAGCATTGACACATCGTGCTGTTGTCGAGTGTCTCAGATGGCATCATTCCATCTTGGACTTTGTCTACAACTCAGCCCACCCTCCCCCCCCCCCACCCACCCCGAGTATATTTAGTAGCGCATCGCTTACAGGGAACAGCAGACCAACTCCGGCATATGTTGACTATTCTTGCTCTCACTAAAGCATTTTCAGTAGTTTGCCATTGCTTTTTGCATAGTTTGATGCTCATGCTACTGTCAACATCAATGCAACACGGCCTGTTGCCAAAAAGCCTGCGAATGAATTAGAGACCTGTATATCAGATTTATGAGACTGCATCCGTAACCCCTAACCCACAGACATACAACCACACTTTACACAAGAGATCACACGTTTACTGGGCGAACAATATTTCAAGATTATTGGTTTCAGTTCGTAATTATTTATTTCAGCATAACAATGGTCAAAACATACACACACACACACACACACACACACACACACACACACACACACACACACACATGCACGCAGACACATGTACGCGCACATGAACACTCTCTCTCTCTCTCTCTCTCTTCTCTCTCTCTCTCTCTCTCTCTCTCTCTCTCTCTCTCTCTCACACACACACATAAAACATACACAAAAAATTTAAAGCTCTTAAAGCGAAAATCACTAAACTCATTCTTTGGTTGTGCTGCTTGTTGTTAGAAATCTCATCAGTCTGATCCAGCAGCCCCTATGTCCCAGTAAGTAAACACACAAAGGATGAGGTCTGAGCTGGTCTGACATCAGCCCCCATGTCCCAGTAAGTAAACACACAAAGGATGAGGTCTGAGCTGGTCTGACATCAGCCCCCATGTCCCAGTAAGTAAACACACAAAGGATGAGGTCTGAGCTGGTCTGACATCAGCCCCAATGTCCCAGTAAGTAAACACACAAAGGATGAGGTCTGAGCTTGTCTGATGTCAGCTCCTATGTCCCAGTAAGTAAACACACAAAGGATGAGGTCTGAGCTGGTCTGACATCAGCCCCCATGTCCCAGTAAGTAAACACACAAAGGATGAGGTCTGAGCTGGCCTGACATCAGCCCCCATGTCCCAGTAAGTAAACACACAAAGGATGAGGTCAGAGCTGGTCTGATGTCAGCTCCTATGTCCCAGTAAGTAAACACACAAAGGATGAGGTCTGAGCTGGTCTGATGTCAGCTCCTATGTCCCAGTAAGTAAACACACAAAGGATGAGGTCAGAGCTGGTCTGATGTCAGCTCCTATGTCCCAGTAAGTAAACACACAAAGGATGAGGTCAGAGCTGGTCTGATGTCAGCTCCTATGTCCCAGTAAGTAAACACACAAAGGATGAGGTCAGAGCTGGTCTGATGTCAGCCCCCATGTCCCAGTAAGTAAACACACAAAGGATGAGGTCTGAGCTGGTCTGACATCAGCCCCGATGTCCCAGTAAGTAAACACACAAAGGATGAGGTCAGAGCTGGTCTGACGTCAGCCCCCATGTCCCAGTAAGTAAACACACAAAGGATTAGGTCTGAGCTGGTCTGACATCAGCCCCGATGTCCCAGTAAGTAAACACACAAAGGATGAGGTCAGAGCTGGTCTGACGTCAGCCCCCATGTCCCAGTAAGTAAACACACAAAGGATGAGGTCTGAGCTGGTCTGACATCAGCCCCCATGTCCCAGTAAGTAAACACACAAAGGATGAGGTCTGAGCTGGTCTGATGTCAGCTCCTATGTCCCAGTAAGTAAACACACAAAGGATGAGGTCAGAGCTGGTCTGACATCAGCCCCGATGTCCCAGTAAGTAAACACACAAAGGATGAGGTCAGAGCTGGTCTGATGTCAGCTCCTATGTCCCAGTAAGTAAACACACAAAGGATGAGGTCAGAGCTGGTCTGATGTCAGCTCCTATGTCCCAGTAAGTAAACACACAAAGGATGAGGTCTGAGCTGGTCTGACATCAGCCCCCATGTCCCAGTAAGTAAACACACAAAGGATGAGGTCTGAGCTGGTCTGACGTCAGTCTACCCTAACAACCCTACCCTGGACATGTAACATCAGATGTACGCAGAAGTGGAACAGAATTCAACAGGAGGTTAGGAATGGCTTTAATATAGGCACCAAGACGCACAAGCTACTGACAGCTGTAATAGAGAGATTAACAACACAATGAAAATGAGAATAGTAAATTATAATCAAAACAGATATCCGGGTCAAAATTGACACTAGGCACGGTGACTGTTTTTACTCATGGCAAAAGTTCAGTGCTGTTGCATTTTTTTTTTTTTAGACTGAAATGATGTAGTTTTATCATCCAGCTACTGAGCCCATGGCGCGACACTGTGAGCTGTAGATTTCATTTGCAATGTTTTTTCAACTGTGACCAGCATGGTGTTGTGAACTGTAGATTCACAAAATGGCACCTGGCCATAGAATTGGTGCTGTCTTTTGTGATTAAAATTGATTGCATGTGCAAGCGCTGATCTGTTTGCAACTGCTGCTTCCGTCGATGATGAACTGCATTTATAACGTTGGACTGTTTGTATTAGCCCTTCTGATGGCTGCCTTATTTTTCTTTATGCGTTTGTATTTAAGTAGATTTGCTGAGGCTGCAGCCGTGTCAACATTTCCACTAGGGGCAGTGATAGACATTTCCGCGTAGAGAATACGACACACACACACACATACACATATATACACACATACACATACACGCACACCCTGATGGTAATTGACTCAGAAAGCATGCTGAGGAAGATCAGGACAGGTATGCTTCGTGTAGAGTGGCATGCTTTGCTACAGAGGACAAGAGTGAGGAGTATTATCTGGATTTTTTCGTCAGGACAGGCCGGTGGTGGGAAATGAACAGGTGGACAAACTGGATGGCTTTGCACAACTTGGTGGAATAATGGTACATGATAAGTCAGACATGATTAGGGCTTTGTAGGAGAGCGTGTACACTTCGGAGGAGCAAATGGATCACCACAGTCTGCAAGATTGATGCAGGGGGAAGTGACGACAGGTTCTGGCAGATGCTCGAGGCTCAGAGGAAAGGCCAGACCCACGTTTCATCAGAATGCTACTTGCCCCATTAGAATTGGAACTCTGCACTGGCTGCTGAAGATGGCGACAGAGCGCTTATGGGAATGTCATGCCTGCTGTGATGTCAGTACTTGAATCAACTCAACTGGACATTCTGTATCTTGTCCGTTGGCACAGGGGCGGAGCTACTATGGGGTGACCTGCTCGCTGTTGAGCTGGAACTAAGATTACCAGATCACAAGACAAGTTAGATGTGAGGTTGACTGAGCCCGGCTGTAGGACACAGAAACCTGGACAATCAACAGGCAACTAGAAAATAGAACTCAGTCTCTAAAAATGTGTGTATACATAAGAATATATATATATATATATCTACACTGGAAACAAAAACAATGCAATGGGGAGTGCTGCGGTGATTGGATGAAAATAGAATTACTGTAATAAATTGGGAAAACAAATGTTTACAAAATAAATCAATAATTAGTGAGAAAAATGAACTTCTTTTGGCTTCGTTATAAAACACAATGCTTTTTTAACAACTATAATAGACAAAACATTTGGAGGCGAGAAAGCAAGAGGTAGACAACGATACAAAAGGGGGAAATATACATCAGTCTGAGTGAGTGTTCAACCAAAACAAAAAATGCTTTTGTTGAAAATCCGTGGCAACCAACTTTTCCTATGTAGACGGCACCAGATCGATTGATTGATTGTAACACAGTAATGGACCATTCAAGTCATTTGATGCCCTTAACATATAGCTATTCTAGCCACAAATCTCTCCTCACGGTTGACTGTTTCGAGCTGATGTGACATTCCATCTCTGTAATCAGTGATGTTTCCTCAATGTTTTGACCAGTTTAATTGACTCATCTTTACATCACAGACTTGCTCTTGGTTCTCTTTGTTTCTGTCCCCATTGTGGTAGCAGACATCTTTGATGAGGCAGGTCAGGTTCTGTGGAGAACATCACCACAAGGATCAGTAATATCACCACATTAACACCACAAGGATCAGTAATAACACCACATTAACACCACAAGGATCAGTAATATCACCACATTAACACCACAAGGATCAGTAATAACACCACATTAACACCACAAGGATCAGTAATAACACCACATTAACACCACAAGGATCAGTAATATCACCACATTAACATCACAAGGATCAGTAATATCACCACATTAACATCACAAGGATCAGTAATATCACCACATTAACATCACAAGGATCAGTAATACCACCACATTAACATCACAAGGATCAGTAATATCACCACATTAACATCACAAGGATCAGTAATAACATCACATTAACACCACAAGGATCAGTAATATCACCACATTAACACCACATTAACATCACAAGGATCAAATATCAGTACAATTAACATCACAAGGATCACACCACATTAACATCACAAAGGATCAGTATCATACATTAACACCACATTAACACCACATTAACACAAGGATCAGTATATCACCACATTAACACCACATCAGTAACACCACATCACAAGGATCAGTAATAACATCACAAGGATCAGTAATAACACCAAATTAACACACAAGGATCAGTAATATCACCACATTAACATCACAAGGATCAGTAATACCACCACATTAACATCACAAGGATCAGTAATAACACCACATTAACATCACAAGGATCAGTAATAACACCACATTAACACATTAATATCACCACATCATCACAAGGATCAGTAATAACATCACAAGGATCAGTAATAACACCACATTAACATCACAAGGATCAGTAATATCACCACATTAACATCACAAGGATCAGTAATATCACCACATTAACATCACAAGGATCAGTAATAACATCACATTAACACCACAAGGATCGGTAATATCACCACATTATTGCGTTTATCACAATGTACATGGACATGAGGCACTTGTTTATCATATCTAGGACTAGCTCGTCCTTCAAATATGTCTCTCTCTTGAAACATGTCACTCTTCCTTCAAACCTGTCTCTTCCTTCAAACCTGTCTCTCCCTTCAAACATGTCTCTCTTAAAACCTACTCTCTCTTCAAACATGTCTCTCTCTTAATACCTGTCTCTTCCTTCAAACATGTCACTCTCTTAAAACCTGTCTCTTCCTTAAAACATGTTTCTCACTTCAAACATGTCTCTTCCTTCAAACATGTCTCTCTCTTAAAACATGTCTCTTCCTTCAAACATGTCTCTCTCTCTCTCTCTTAAAACCTGTCTCTTCCTTCAAACATGTGTCTCTCTTAAAACCTGTCTCTTCCTTGAAACATGTGTCTCTCTTAAAACATGTCTCTTCCTTCAAACATATGTCCCTCTTAAAAATTGTCTCTCCCTTCAAACATGTCTCTCCCTTCAAACAGGTCTCTCCCTTCAAACATGTCTCTCCCTTCAAACATGTCTCTCCCTTCAAACATGTCTCTCTCTTCAAACATGTCTCTCTTCAAACATGTCTCTCCCTTCAGACATGTCTCTCCCTTCAGACATGTCTCTCCCTTCAAACATGTCTCTCTCTTCAAACATGTCTCTCCCTTCAAACATGTCTCTTCCTTCAAACATGTCTCTCCCTTCAAACATGTCTCTCCCTCCAAACATGTCTCTCTTCAAACATGTCTCTCCCTTCAAACATGTCTCTCTCTTCAAACATGTCTCTCTCTTCAAACATGTCTCTCCCTTCAAACATGTCTCTCTCTTCAGACATGTCTCTTTCTTCAAACATGTCTCTCCCTTCAAACATGTCTCTTTTCTTTAAACATGTCTCTCTCTTCAAACATGTCTCTCTCTTCAAACATATCTCTGCCTTCAAACATGTCTCTCCCTTTAAACATGTCTCTCCCTTCAAACATGTTTCTCCCTTCAGACATGTCTCTCCCTTCAGACATGTCTCTCCCTTTAAACATGTCTCTCCCTTCAGACATGTCTCTCCCTTCAGACATGTCTCTCTCTTCAAACATGTCTCTCCCTTCAGACATGTCTCTCCCTTCAGACATGTCTCTCTCTTCAAACATGTCTCTCTCTTAAAACATGTCTCTCCCTTCAGACATGTCCCTCTCTTCAAACATGTCTCTTCCTTCAAACATGTCTCTCTCTTCAAACATGTCTCTCTCTTCAAACATGTCTCTCCCTTCAAACATGTCTCTCTCTTCAGACATGTCTCTTTCTTCAAACATGTCTCTCCCTTCAGACATGTCTCTCCCTTCAAACATGTCTCTCCCTTCAAACATGTCTCTCCCTTCAAACATGTCTCTCTCTTCAAACATGTCTCTCTCTTCAAACATGTCTCTCTCTTCAAACATGTCTCTCCCTTCAAACATGTCTCTCTCTTCAAACATGTCTCTCCCTTTAAACATGTCTCTCCCTTCAAACATGTCTCTCTCTTCAAACATGTCTCTCCCTTCAAACATGTCTCTTCCTTCAAACATGTCTCTCCCTTCAAACATGTCTCTCCCTTCAAACATGTCTCTCTTCAAACATGTCTCTCCCTTCAAACATGTCTCTCTCTTCAAACATGTCTCTCTCTTCAAACATGTCTCTCTCTTCAAACATGTCTCTCCCTTCAAACATGTCTCTCTCTTCAGACATGTCTCTTTCTTCAAACATGTCTCTCCCTTCAGACATGTCTCTCCCTTCAAACATGTCTCTTTTCTTTAAACATGTCTCTCTCTTCAAACATGTCTCTCTCTTCAAACATATCTCTCCCTTAAAACATGTCTCTCCCTTCAAACATGTCTCTCCCTTCAGACATGTCTCTCCCTTCAAACATGTCTCTCCCTTCAAACATGTCTCTCCCTTCAGACATGTCTCTCCCTTCAAACATGTCTCTCCCTTCAAACATGTCTCTCCCTTCAGACATGTCTCTCCCTTCAAACATGTCTCTCTCTTCAAACATGTCTCTCTCTTCAAACATGTCTCTCCCTTCAGACATGTCCCTCTCTTCAAACATGTCTCTTCCTTCAAACATGTCTCTCTCTTCAAACATGTCTCTCTCTTCAAACATGTCTCTCCCTTCAAACATGTCTCTTTCTTCAAACATGTCTCTCCCTTCAGACATGTCTCTCCCTTCAAACATGTCTCTTTTCTTTAAACATGTCTCTCTCTTCAAACATGTCTCTCTCTTCAAACATATCTCTCCCTTCAAACATGTCTCTCCCTTCAAACATGTCTCTCCCTTCAAACATGTCTCTCCCTTCAGACATGTCTCTCCCTTCAGACATGTCTCTTTTCTTTAAACATGTCTCTCCCTTCAAACATGTCTCTCTCTTCAAACATATCTCTCCCTTTAAACATGTCTCTCCCTTCAAACATGTCTCTCCCTTCAGACATGTCTCTCCCTTCAAACATGTCTCTCCCTTCAAACATGTCTCTCCCTTCAGACATGTCTGTCCCTTCAGACATGTCTCTCCCTTCAGACATGTCTCTCCCTTCAAACATGTCTCTCTCTTCAAACATGTCTCTCCCTTTAAACATGTCTCTTCCTTCAAACATGTCTCTCCCTTCAAACATGTCTCTCCCTTCAAACATGTCTCTTCCTTCAAACATGTCTCTCCCTTCAAACATGTCTCTCTCTTCAAACATGTCTCTCTCTTCAAACATGTCTCTCCCTTCAAACATGTCTCTCTCTTCAAACATGTCTCTCTCTTCAAACATGTCTCTCTCTTCAAACATGTCTCTCCCTTCAAACATGTCTCTCTCTTAAGACATGTCTCTTTCTTCAAACATGTCTCTCCCTTCAGACATGTCTCTCCCTTCAAACATGTATCTTTTCTTTAAACATGTCTCTCTCTTCAAACATGTCTCTCTCTTCAAACATATCTCTCCCTTAAAACATGTCTCTCCCTTCAAACATGTCTCTCCCTTCAGACATGTCTCTCCCTTCAAACTTGTCTCTCCCTTCAAACATGTCTCTCCCTTCAGACATGTCTGTCCCTTCAGACATGTCTCTCCCTTCAAACATGTCTCTCCCTTCAGACATGTCTCTCCCTTCAGACATGTCTCTCTCTTCAAAAATGTCTCTCTCTTAAAACATGTCTCTCCCTTCAGACATGTCCCTCTCTTCAAACATGTCTCTCCCTTCAAACATGTCTCTTTCTTCAAACATGTCTCTCCCTTCAGACATGTCTCTCCCTTCAAACATGTCTCTTTTCTTTAAACATGTCTCTCTCTTCAAACATGTCTCTCTCTTCAAACATATCTCTCCCTTCAAACATGTCTCTCTCTTCAAACATGTCTCTCCCTTCAAACATGTCTCTCTCTTCAGACATGTCTCTTTCTTCAAACATGTCTCTCCCTTCAGACATGTCTCTCCCTTCAAACATGTCTCTTTTCTTCAAACATGTCTCTCTCTTCAAACATGTCTCTCCCTTCAAACATGTCTCTCCCTTCAAACATGTCTCTCCCTTCAGACATGTCTCTCCCTTCAAACATGTCTCTCCCTTCAAACATGTCTCTCCCTTCAGACATGTCTGTCCCTTCAGACACGTCTCTCCCTTCAAACATGTCTCTCCCTTCAGACATGTCTGTCCCTTCAGACATGTCTCTCTCTTCAAACATGTCTCTCTCTTCAAACATGTCTCTCCCTTCAGACATGTCCCTCTCTTCAAACATGTCTCTTCCTTCAAACATGTCTCTCCCTTTAAACATGTCTCTCCCTTCAGACTTATCTCTCTTCAAACATGTCTCTCCCTTCAGACATATCTCAATTATTGACTGAGGAAATCACTAATCCAGAAATGTACAAACCAGACAGTCTAGTTAACTTCTAAAAATCCATGAAATTCTAGCCGTCTTCATAGTGTAAACAAAATCAAATGTATGGCAAGCAAGGTAAAGGACTCTTGTTCTGAATCATCAAAGAAACTGATTAAATGGTGTGTACAGTACATGCCACAGGGGTCTCTACTTCACAGAGTATGTCTTTGCTGTAACCAGTTCTGGCTGGGCTTGACAGTGGGCTTATGTTGACTTCAAATACGAAAATCATGGCCTTGAGGATGATTAAAAAATATGGCAGGGTGGCTGGCAAGAAAACGTGATATCATTGGATGGAACAGATAGCTGTGATATCATTGGATGAAATAGATAGCTGTGATATCATTGGATGGAACAGATAGCTGTGATATCATTGGATGAAACAGATAGCTGTGATATCATTGGATGAAATAGATAGCTGTGATATCGCTGGATGGAATAGATAGCTGTGATATCGCTGGATGGAATAGATAGCTGTGATATCATTGGATGGAATAGATAGCTGTGATATCATTGGATGGAATAGATAGCTGTAATATCGCTGGATGGAATAGATAGCTGTGATATCATTGGATGTCATTCATCAGTACCACCAACTAGTAAAGATGTGTGTACGGATGTTGTCTTAGGTATCACTAAATTACCAGAATGTGGACTGGTTTGCATTTGCAGTACAGATATGGAGTGAGTTTTCATAAGACACATTTCCAGCTGTGCTAGCCATTAGAGCCAAATTGTTATTATAGTGTGCCAGTAGTGGGGTAACTAAGTGCAGACTGAGCAAACAACAATAAAAACTAGGCCTTATACTTCCTGCAGACAGCATGGATGTGTCCACCGTGTAGCCAGCTAGACTGCCTTGGGGGGAAAATGGAACCTAAACATCTAGAGATCTGCTGTCAGCAATGGATGTTTATGGGTATGACACGAGAATGTTGATGACATGTCTTTTAATCAATGCAGAATACAAGAAGGAATATATCAGGGTTATGACCCCACCATAAATTAAGGATCTTACCTTGATTTTACAGCTTCTGCCGACACACTGCATGCAGGTGGTGTCATAAAGGTGCAAGGGCAGCTCATTGCCATACCTGACACTATCGGATGTGGCAGAAACTACATACCTCTGCAGGGATTTCTCTGAAAACATCAACACAGACAAACAATAATATACAATATCTGATTCAGTGCCCCAGGTATATAGTGCTACCTCAAATTGTCAGACTAATGGGGCAATACTGTCAATAATATTGGCTGCCTTAATTTCTCAGGAATTTTCCTGTCAACTGTGCAAGCGAGGAGCCAACTAAAAGCCCAGATAATGAAAAACAAAATCGATGATGTCGTGTGTAATGTAGAACAACAGCCATTTTTAAATCTTAAGTGCTTAAAAATTTCAAAGTTGCCAGTATGGAGCAGTACAACATGGAGCAGCCAGACAAGAACATAAGGGTACAATATGGAGCAGCCAGACAAGAACATAGGAGTACAACATGGAGCAGCCAGACAAAAACATAAGGGTAAAACATGGAGCAGCCAGACAAGAACATAAGGGTACAACATGGAGCAGCCAGACAAAAACATAATGGTACAATATGGAGCAGCCAGACAAGAACATAAGGGTACAACATGGAGCAGCCAGGCAAAAACATAATGGTACAACATGGAGCAGCCAGACAAGAACATAAGGGTACAATATGGAGCAGCCAGACAAGAACATAAGGGTACAACATGGAGCAGCCAGACAAAAACATAATGTACTATATGGAGCAGCCAGACAAGAACATAAGGGTACAACATGGAGCAGCCAGACAAGAACATAAGGGTACAACATGGAGCAGCCAGACAAGAACATAGGAGTACAACATAGAGCAGCCAGACAAAAACATAAGGGTACAACATGGAGCAGCCAGACAAAAACATAAGCGTACAACATGGAGCAGCCAGACAAAAACATAAGCGTACAACATGGAGTAGCCAGACAAGAACATAAGAGTACAACATGGAGCAGCCAGACAAAAACATAAGCGTACAACATGGAGCAGCCAGACAAGAACATAAGCATACAACATGGAGCAGCCAGACAAAAACATAAGCGTACAACATGGAGCAGCCAGACAAAAACATAAGGGTACAATATGGAGCAGCCAGACAAGAACATAAGGGTACAACATGGAGCAGCCAGACAAAAACATAAGGGTACAATATGGAGCAGCCAGACATAAACATAAGGGTACAATATGGAGCAGCCAGACAAGAACATACAGGTACAATATGGAGCAGCCAGACAAGAACATACAGGTACAATATGGAGCAGCCAGACAAGAACATACAGGTACAATATGGAGCAGCCAGACAAGAACATAAGGGTACAATATGAAGCAGCCAGACAAGAACATAAGTGTACAATATGGAGCAGCCAGACAAGAACATAAGTGTACAACATGGAGCAGCCAGACAAGAACATAAGGGTACAACATGGAACAGCCAGATATGAACATAAGGGTACAATATGGAGCAGCCAGACAAGAACATAAGGGTACAACATGGAACAGCCAGATATGAACATAAGGGTACAATATGGAGCAGCCAGACATGAACATAAGTGTACAACATGGAGCAGCCAGACAAGAACATAAGGGTACAATATGGAGCAGCCAGACAAGAACATACAGGTACTATATGGAGCAGCCAGACAAGAACATAAGGGTACAATATGGAGCAGCCAGACATGAACATACAGGTACAATATGGAGCAGCCAGACAAGAACATAAGGGTACAAAATGGAGCAGCCAGACAAGAACATAAGGGTACAATATAGAGCAGCCAGACAAGAACATAAGGGTACAATATGGAGCAGCCAGACAAGAACATAAGGGTACAATATGGAGCAGCCAGACAAGAACATAAGGGTACAATATGGAGCAGCCAGACAAGAACATAAGGGTACTATATGGAGCAGCCAGACAAGAACAGAAGGGTACTATATGGAGCAGCCAGACAAGAACATAAAGGTACAATATGGAGCAGCCAGACAAGAACATACAGGTACAATATGGAGCAGCCAGACAAGAACATACAGGTACAATATGGAGCAGCCAGACATAAACATAAGGGTACAATATGGAGCAGCCAGACAAGAAAATAAGGGTACAATATGGAGCGGCCAGACAAGAACATAAGGGTACAATATGGAGCAGCCAGACAAGAACATACAGGTACAATATTTAGCAGCCAGACATGAACATAAGGTTACAATATGGAGCAGCCAGACATGAACATAAGGGTAGAATAGGGAGCAGCCAGACAAGAACATAAGGGTACAATATGGAGCAGCCAGACAAGAACATACAGGTACAATATGGAGCAGCCAGACAAGAACATAAGGGTACTATATGGAGCAGCCAGACATAAACATAAGGGTACAATATGGAGCAGCCAGACAAGAACATACAGGTACAATATGGAGCAGCCAGACAAGAACATAAGGGTACAAAATGGAGCAGCCAGACAAGAACATAAGGGTACAACATGGAGCAGCCAGACAAGAACATAAGTGTACAACATGGAGCAGCCAGACATGAACATAAGGGTACAATATGGAACAGCCAGACAAGAACATAAGGGTACAATATGGAGCAGCCAGACAAAAACATAAGGGTACAATATGGAGCAGCCAGACGTGAACATAAGGGTACAATATGGAGCAGCCAGACATGAACATACAGGTACAATATGGAGCAGCCAGACAAGAACATAAGGGTAGAATAGGGAGCAGCCAGACAAGAACATAAGGGTACAATATGAAGCAGCCAGACAAGAACATACAGGTACAATATGGAGCAGCCAGACATGAACATAAGGGTACAATATGGAGCAGCCAGACAAGAACATAAGGGTACAATATGGAGCAGCCAGACAAGAACATAGGGGTACAATATGGAGCAGCCAGACATGAACGTAAGGGTACAATATGGAGCAGCCAGACATGAACATACAGGTACAATATGGAGCAGCCAGACAAGAACATAAGGGTAGAATAGGGAGCAGCCAGACATGAACATAAGGGTACAACATGGAGCAGCTAGACATGAAAATAAGGGTGCAACATGGAGCAGCCAGACAAGAACATAAGGGTAGAATAGGGAGCAGCCAGACATGAACATAAGGGTACAACATGGAGCAGCTAGACATGAAAATAAGGGTACAACATGGAGCAGCCAGACATAAACATAAGGGTACAACATGGAGCAGCCAGACATGAGCTTAAGGGTAGAATAGGGAGCAGCCAGACATGAACATAAGGGTAGAATAGGGAGCAGCCAGAGATAAACATAAGGGTACAACATGGAGCAGCCAGACATGAACATAAGGGTAGAATAGGGAGCAGCCAGAGATAAAAATAAGGGTACAACATGGAGCAGCCAGAGATAAACATAAGGGTAGAATATGGAGCAGCCAGACATGAACATAAGGGTAGAATAGGGAGCAGCCAGAGATAAACATAAGGGTACAACATGGAGCAGCCAGACAAGAACATATAGGTACAATATGGAGCAGCCAGACAAGAACATACAGGTACAATATGGAGCAGCCAGACAAGAACATACAGGTACAATATGGAGCAGCCAGACAAGAACATAAGGGAACACAGCCTTTGAATAGTCAACACAGAATGAGTGTGACCAGTCATTTTCGTCATGTAGTACTTCTGAGGAGGAGATCATAGCACATGTGTCTCTGGCAGGACTGCTGTGATGACATTCCTCACTAATTATGAAAAGATGTTCCTAATTTCCTCTGCAATTTTCTTTATCTCCTGAATGACTGTTTTAAATTTTCCTTATGTATGTTTTAAATTTTCCGTTTGTTCTTATTCTATTGTGTGTATGTTCTTATTTTGTTGTGTGTATGTTCTTATTCTGTTGTGTGTATGTTCCTAATCTCCCATGTATAGGCTTTTAGTCTCCTGTGTTTTTTCTCTCTCTCAGTCTCTTGTGTGTACGTTCATAATCTCCTGTGTGTACGTTCTTCATCTCCTGTGTGTACGTTCTTCATCGCATGTGTGTATGTTCCTAATCTCCTGTGTGTGTGTTCTTAATCTCCTGTGTGTATGTTCTTAATCTCCTGTGTGTATGTTCTTAATCTCCTGTGTGTATGTTCCTTATCTCCTGTGTGTATGTTCTTAATCTCCTGTGTGTATGTTCTTAATCTCCTGTGTGTATGTTCTTAATCTCATGTGTGTATGTTCTTTATCTCCTGTGTGTATAAAACAAAAATTGAAAGTGCATGCTCAGACTGACCTGGTTTTGGAAGTGGGCAAGTGAATTTAGTGGCTGACTCGTTAATGGCGTCCACCATTATGGCTTGTCCGGTCTTCCTCCCGGCACGCTGGCAGGACAGTGTTTACACGTGAGACATTTGCTAGTTAATTGTTTCATAAAATGAATGTGTCACTGCAATTGTTTACACTGATTGTGTCACTGACGTGTCACTGACGTGTCACTGTAATTGTTGACTCTGATCTTCCATTACAGCAACTGAGTTAATTCCAACACTAGACATTCAATATTGTCTTTGTTTACTGCCATTCACTAAAATCTTACACTACAGTCCTTTACTGTTTGCCCTATTACATCAATCCACTGTAATTTTCAAATACAATAATTCATTCTAATCTTCCATTATAGCCATTCACTGTAATCTTACATTATAGCCATTCACTGTAATCTTCCATTATAGCCATTAACTGTAATCTTACATTAAAGCCATTCACTGTAATCTTTTATTATAGCCATTCACTGTAATCTTCCATTATAGCCATTCACTGTAATCTTACATTACATCATTCACTGTAATCTTACATTATAGCCATTCACTGTAATCTTACATTATAGCCATTCACTGTAATCTTACATTATAGCCATTCACTGTAATCTCCTATTATAGCCATTCACTGTAATCTTACATTATAGCCATTTACTATAATCTTCCATTACATCATTCACTGTAATCTATTTAATGTATGTTCTGTTAAAACCATTCACAACAATCATTCGTTATATCCATTCATCTTATATTATAATCATACACTGTAATTTTCCATTATAATTATTCATGTAATGTTGCATTATAATCATTCACTGTAATCTAGCAGACATTCAAAAGTATCAGACATTCACAGGTGACGGACATTTACAGGTAGTAGACATTCACAGGTAGCAAACATTCACAGATAACAGACATTCCCAGATAACAGACATTCACAGATAGCAAACATTTCCACATAACAGATGTTAACAGAAAACAGACTTTCACAGACAACAGACATTCATAGACTACAGACATTCACAGACTACAGATATTAACAGACAACAGACAAGTGATAGACATTCACAGACAACAGACATTTACAAACAACAGACAAGTCACATATATTTACAAACAACAAACATTCAGACAACAGAAACATCACAGAATCAGTAAAGTCAGACATTCACATAGAACATATATACACAGACAACACACAAGTCAGACAACAGACATTTACACACACTATACAAATCACAGACATTCACAGACAACTGACAAGTCAGACAACAACAAGTAACTTTCTGCTATTTATGCCAGAATATCTAAACTCACAGTGACTGGTTGCAGGCGACATTTCATTTTGTCCCGAATGTCCACATTAGTCTTGAAAAAGTCAAAAGTCTGACAGGTTGGGTGGCTTTCATAACACAAGAATCCACTGACAAAGAGATGATACACAACAATTCAAGAAATGAACTTAGCCTGCCTTTTATATGTCCATGTTAACATAGTAAACATCTCTATTATACAATGACATACATTCATCAGTAAATACATTCATATATATATATATGACTGGCACAGACAGGTTCACATAGACAGGTAGACACATTCACAGATATAAATATGAAACTATGTGCCAGCATTGCTAGGGATGTTTACAGCAAAACAACTTAAATTCAGGAAACACAGAAAGAAACTACTGAAAAACAAGGAGAACGGTTACAACAGAAAGTAGAAACTGCATTTGTAACTATCACTTGTAGAGGGCAACACTGAGGATAAATGGAGAGAATGTAAACCACAAAATTGTCACTTCCTACAACCTCTGAGGGTTGCATGTAATCCCGTCTGACTTGTTGATATAGAAACAGTCAACACAATGTTCACTTCCTACAACCTCTGAGGGTTGCATGTAATCCCGTCTGACTTGTTGCTATAGAAACAGTCAACACAATGTTCACTTCCTACAACCTCTGAGGGTTGCATGTAATCCCGTCTGACTTATTGCTATAGAGACAGTCAACTACATCACATCAGTTATATTTATTAGTTCATTTGTGGACAGATTATCCTTATTTCACATCAAACTATTCAGTCCATAAGTGCTCGGATCCCCTCCTCAGTATGTCCAACAGCATACTGCAGCTGACAGCATCTTCTATGTTGCTTTCTTATTCTTCTGTTGCTTCCTGCATTGTGCTCTTGCCTCGCCACACCCATTTTTTATTCTGCTAATCCTGCAGTCTGGTCATGGTTACAGATTCACAGTCATCCCTTGGTTCATGCAAACGTCTCACTTCTCGTAAAGCATTCAGTATATTTGCAAGGTCCATGGCTCGTCCACCCTTTACAGTAGCCTTACCTGCAAGCCTATTGGCTGGTTCATTTTCTTGCACGCCTGCATAGCCAATCGCAAACATGAAACTCATCTGTCCCAGCTCCAGCTAAACAGTGCCTTTAGACAAAGCTCACCCACTCTCTTCCTGAGCAAACTGATTGCAAATTTAGTTATGTATATAATGATCATTAAATACTATTTTTTTTTTGGGGATTGAGGACACTAGCCATCTTTGTGTATGAACTTCATGTCTGTAAGTATATGTCAGTTATTGTAGATGTTTTCTGCTGCCAATATATGTTCATTGTTATTTGCAGATCTTTATCATCAATGTTCCTCACGTGATATACTGAAATAATCACAAAGACATTAAAACCACAAGAAAGTTTTTCAAACATAATTACCTAGTGACTGTATAAATGATGAGCATTATCTCAGTAGTATGAATCATGTTTAATATTTCCAATTTCCAAACCCATTACCCACTTGTTTATGATTCGGACTGGCATCTTTCCATATTTCCAGATGATGGTGTCATATTGTGCTATGAGGAGGCATGGGACACAGCCCATAACAATGGCGAGTGTTAGGAAAAGTCTTTCACAATTATAGCATAGGATTTCAGGACCATTGTTGTCACCATGTGTGTTTAGTATGTTTCTTCTCAGACGCTCAACTTTCATCCTTTCTGCAGTTGTTTCTTTCTTTCTTCATTCCCATTTCCTTCCTGATGTGTTCCTCCACACAAGACAGTCCATGGTCCGCTTATATGTGGTGCCATATCAACAGATTAACTATCTCCTGTTTCTAATCCCATCACTCAGTTATATGTGGTGTCATATCAACAGATTAGCTATCTCCTGTTTCTAATCCCAACACTCAGTTATATGTGGTGTCATATCAACAGATTATCTATCTCCTGTTTCTAATCCCATCACTCAGTTATATGTGGTGTCATATCAACAGATTAGCTATCTCCTGTTTCTAATCTGATCACTCAGTTATATGTGGTGTCATATCAACAGATTAGCTATCTCCTGTTTCTAATCCCATCGCTCACTTATATATATGTGGTGTCATATCAACAGATTAGCTATCTCCTGTTTCTAATCCCATCACTCAGTTATATGTGGTGTCATATCAACAGATTAGCTATCTCCTGTTTCTAATCCCATCACTCAGTTATATGTGGTGTCATATCAACAGATTAGCTATCTCCTGTTTCTAATCCCATCACTCAGTTATATGTGGTGTCATATCAACAGATTAGCTATCTCCTGTTTCTAATCCCATCACTCAGTTATATGTGGTGTCATATCAACAGATTAGCTATCTCCTGTTTCTAATCCCATCACTCAGTTATATGTGGTGTCAACTACACAACACACAGTTATACATGGTGTCAACTACACAACACACAGTTATACGTGGTTTCAACTACACAACACACAGTTATACATGGTGTCAACTACAAAACACTCAGTTATATGTGGTGTCAACTACACAACACACAGTTATACATGGTGTCAACTACACAACACAGTTATACATGGTGTCAACTACACAACACACAGTTATACATGGTGTCAACTACACAACACACAGTTATACTTGGTGTCAACTACACAACACACAGTTATACATGGTGTCAACTACACAATACACAGTTATACTTGGTGTCAACTACACAACACACAGTTATACATGGTGTCAACTACACAACACACAGTTATACGTGGTGTCAACTACACAACACACAGTTATACGTGGTGTTAACTACACAACACACAGTTATACTGGGTGTCAACTACACAACACACAGTTATACATGGTGTCAACTACACAACACACAGTTATACTTGGTGTCAACTACACAACACATAGTTTTACGTGGTGTCAACTACACAACACTCAGTTATATGTGGTGTCAACTACACAACACAAAGTTATACGTGGTGTCAACTACACAACACACAGTTATACGTGGTGTCAACTACACAACACACAGTTATACGTGATGTCAACTACACAACACACAGTTATACATGATGTCAACTACACAACACACAGTTATGCCTGGTGTCAACTACACAACACACAGTTATAAATGGTGTCAACTACACAACACAGTCTTACCCTGTGACAGCTCTGATGACAGGTCCCCTGGCCAGGTCTATCTGGCACGTCTCTCCCGCCCAGCCAAGCTGGCATTCACATGTGCCTTCCTGGCCACACTTGCCATGTTGCAGACACTCTGGGGGACACACAATCAGGTTCTCTCCTGTTTCAGCCAGGATCAGCTGACAGTTTGTGGTGAAGGAGGAGGTGATCGCCTCTAAGGGTGCAACTAATCCCCCATGCTGCCAGAAATGAAAACCTGCATTTATTTAGGTCACATCTCAGATAAACTCATATCTGTGTAGAAAATACAAGTAATTCTATTCAATGAACTCTGTAGCAGCAGCGACAAAGTCCCAAGGAAACCACAATCTCTGTGTGCCTGAAGCAAACAAGAACATCTTTAAGGCAATAGTTTAACCCAGTGTCAAGGTCTGCATGTAAGGGAGGTAATTACCGCTGACATTTTCCATTGCTAAAGGACAAATATTATTGTGCTATCGTTATTACTGTTTACTATTTATTACAAATATGCAGCTTGGTTTACGTCTCAAACATAACAAAAATATCGTTCACTGGTTACATACGCCACTGATTCAGAAAAAAGCTAGCTGCATACGCAAATTCTAAAGTACGAAGTGACAAAGAGGAAAACATCATATAATACTCTTCTAGTGTAATCATTGCCTGCTAACCTCAGTGTTTGATGTGCTATAGTTGCTGACATGTTATCAAAAACCTCAGCGTTTGATGAGCTATAGTTGCTGCATGTTATCAAACCTCAGTGTTTGATGTGCTATAGTTGCTGCATGTTTTCAAACCTCAGCGTTTGATGAGCTATAGTTGCTGCACGTTATCAGTGTTTGATGTGCTCAGCGTTTGATGTTGAACTGCACATTATCAAACCTCAGTGTTTGATGTGCTATAGTTGCTGCACATTATCAAACCTCAGTGTTTGATGTGCTATAGTTGTTTGATGTGCTGATCAAACCTCAATGTTTTGATGTGCTATAGTTGCTGAATCAAACCTCAGTGTTTGATGTGCTATAGTTGCTGCACGTTATCAAACCTCAGTTTTGATGTGCTATCACATTATCCTCAGTGTTTGATGTGCTATAGTGCTGCACATTATCAAACCTCAATGTTTGATGTGCTATAATTGCTGCACATTATCAAACCTCAGTGTTTGATGTGCTATAATTGCTGCACATTATCAAACCTCAATGTTTGATGTGCTATAATTGCTGCACATTATCAAACCTCAATGTTTGATGTGCTATAGTTGCTGCATGTTATCAAACCTCAGTGTTTGATGTGCTATAGTTGCTGCATGTTATCAAACCTCAATGTTTGATGTGCTATAATTGCTGCACATTATCAAACCTCAATGTTTGATGTGCTATAATTGCTGCACATTATCAAACCTCAGTGTTTGATGTGCTATAATTGCTGCACATTATCAAACCTCAATGTTTGATGTGCTATAGTTGCTGCACGTTATCAAACCTCAATGTTTTGTGCTATAATTGCTGCTATCAGTTTGATGTGCTATACGCATGTTATCAAACCTCAGTGTTTGATGTGCTATAGTTGCTGCTGTTATCAAACCTCAATGTTTGATCTATAATTGCTGCACATTATCAAACCTCAATGTTTGATGTGCTATAATTGCTGCACATTATCAAACCTCAGTGTTTGATGTGCTATAATTGCTGCACATTATCAAACCTCAATGTTTGATGTGCTATAGTTGCTGCACATTATCAAACCTCAATGTTTGATGTGCTATAATTGCTGCAAATTATCAAACCTCAATGTTTGATGTGCTATAGTTGCTGAAGTCATCAAACCTCAGTGTTTGATGTGCTATAATTGCTGCACGTTATCAAACCTCAGTGTTTGATGTGCTATAGTTGCTGCACGTTATCAAACCTCAGTGTTTGATGTGCTATAGTTGCTGCACATTATCAAACCTCAATGTTTGATGTGCTATAATTGCTGCACATTATCAAACCTCAGTGTTTGATGTGCTATAATTGCTGCACATTATCAAACCTCAATGTTTGATGTGCTATAGTTGCTGCACATTATCAAACCTCAGTGTTTGATGTGCTATAGTTGCTGCATGTTATCAAACCTCAATGTTTGATGTGCTATAATTGCTACACATTATCAAACCTCAATGTTTGATGTGCTATAGTTGCTGAAGTTATCAAACCTCAGTGTTTGATGTGCTATAGTTGCTGCACGTTATCAAACCTCAGTGTTTGATGTGCTATAGTTGCTGCACATTATCAAACCTCAGTGTTTGATGTGCTATAGTTGCTGAACATTATCAAACCTCAGTGTTTGATGTGCTATAGTTGCTGCATGTTATCAAACCTCAGTGTTTGATGTGCTATAGTTGCTGCACATTATCAAACCTCAGTGTTTGATGTGCTATAGTTGCTGCATGTTATCAAACCTCAGTGTTTGATGTGCTATAGTTGCTACAAGCAAGTGATGGATGCAAGAGTTGCATTCAGATCAGGCAGGAACATATTTGGCAGCATAGAAACAGACATGGCTGTTAACATTTGTCAGCAGAAGCGACACAATAAGAGATATCACTATATTCCCTTCTACTGACAGGTAACATCATCATCTAATTCTGTGAATGTATTCATCACTTCCCACTGCTCAAGTACAGCTAAGCTTACAAGGCTAAGGTCGTGTCTGGTGTTGCTAGGGATCTGATGTCCAGCCTGTTCGGTGGCTATCTCCACATTGTAGCTCTGGATTGTAGCTCCATATTGTAGCTCCAGATTGTAGCTCCTGATTGTAGCTCCAGATTGTAGCTCCAGATAGAGTCCGAAGCATCTTCTTTATTTCTCAGGCTGGAGAGCTAGCACCCATCTTGGCAAGAAGGTTGCAATGCAGATGCCCAAACAGGCTGCACACCAGTCTCAGTAGATGGAAACCCTTTTCACCGTTCAGATGATGTCAAAGCAAAGGTGCTTTAGAAAATTCACAACCACATTTGGAAATGACCAAATTACTGAACCCACACTAGCTAATGATTTATAATTTATTGTCCTTCTTCTACTTATTTATCTTTCTATTTTTCTCTAGACCCTGTATTGATTGTCATCAAGAGACATCAGGTGCAAGTGTTAGTATGTGCGCTACATAGATGTTGGTGGCCATGACCTTAGATACTCTATCTATCCATCACTTACACAGGTGACCTCCATCTCTACTTCCACCGAGTCTCAGTGACAGGGCCCTGGGTGTGATGCAGTATTTGAGGGTAGTCTGGACACATGTCTGAACCATTTGTTTCATTTAGTCTCAGTGACAGGGCCCTGTCTGTGATGCACTATTTGAGGGTAGTCTGGACACATGTCTGAACCATTTGTTTCATTTAGTCTCAGTGACAGGGCTGTCTGTGGGGCATAAAATGGTTGTAATCTACACAGGGCCAAACCATTTGATTCATTGTTTATTCACTTATTCTCTGTAACAATGTGATAACACTGTGAACTGTGTGCGATGCAGTAAAAAACTGTCAAATCCTGTGGATACCCATGGCATGTTGGAGTTGGCACAACAGTAAGCAGATTGGAAGGCCTCACACACATGGAGCTCTGACAATTTGTCATCAGGACACTGTTGTTGGAAAATGTGTCACCTTCATATGGTACAACCTACATGGCTTTAGATATAATTTTTGCAAATACATTCACTCTGACATGGAGGCGGGTGATATCTGCAGCAATGAACCTCAAGGACTTGGAATGCTAAAGAAAAAAGATACACTCTGACACTTTTTAGATAAAAACAGAAACAGTTTATCATTCAGACACACACACACACATCCAGACACACACACATACTCACCAAGATATCCCCCAGGCAGTCAGCCATGGCAATAGATACCAAGTTTCCAACACTCTGACAGCGAGCATAGATTTGTGATTTCTGAACAGCTTTCCGACACATTGCTTCCGCCTGCTCCCGGCTGATCCCTTTGTTATTGGGCCACTGTCTGTTGGGGTCCACAGCTGAAAGGTCAAGTTGTCATCAGGTCAAATTCCCTTCTGTTTATTACTATAAACAAAATATCTCATCAAATGTCAGTGGCTTTTATTATTTTTAATTTTTCTCTCTCCAGTACATGACCTCTTTGCAATCACAACTTTATTTCATTTTATACCCAACGTCTGGTAATCAGAGTCTATGTATGATCTGTTGTGAAAAGAACTAGAACTACTTAGATTGCTAAGCTGTATCTGTCCTTCTTATATTTGCTTATCTCAAAAAGCTTCATTAGAGATGTCCATATTTTAGCTATGCTCCCAATAAGTTGTTCACGTTGGAGCTATATTGCTAACTGCTGCTTGAATGGTCAAGATCTTGAGAGCCTCACATCAACGAGATTCAGTCTGATATTCTTCTCTGTGATTGTCTCCAGTTGTTTGTTGCACCAGTCAGAGACTCTGATTGGTGTATTATCTCTGTTACCTGAGCCTGTAATGAAGATTTACAATAAGACAAGAAGAAGGTTAAGTACTCACTTGGGACAGGCTTGTGCACATACTCCAGGTTTGTGTTGCCGTCTTGTCCCCAAGGTGAAGGTCTTAAAGTTCCAGTCACAACTGGACAATTTTTGCACTGTAACATATGCTTCCACTGATTACAATAACATGAACATCTCAGAGAGAACATATGCTTCCACTGATTACAATAACATGAACATCTCAGAGAGCACATATGCTTCCACTGATTACAATAACATGAACATCTCAGAGAGAACATATGCTTCCACTGACTTCAATAACATGAACATCTCAGAGAGAACATATGCTTCCACTACTACAATAACATGAACATCTCAGAGAGAACATATGCTTCCACTGACTACAATAACATGAACATCTAAGAGAGAACATATGCTTCCACTGACTACAATAACATGAACATCTAAGAGAGAACATATACTTCCACTAATTACAATAACATGAACATCTCAGAGAGAACATATGCTTCCACTGATTACAATAACATGAACATCTCAGAGAGAACATATGCTTCCACTGATTGCAATAACATGAACATCTCAGAGAGAACATATGCTTCCACTGACTACAATAACATGAACATCTAAGAGAGAACATATACTTCCACTAATTACAATAACATGAACATCTCAGAGAGAACATATGCTTCCACTGATTACAATAACATGAACATCTCATAGAGAACATATGCTTCCACTGATTACAATAACATGAACATCTCGGAGAGAACATATGCTTCCACTAATTACAATAACATGAACATCTCAGAGAGAACATATACTTCCACTGATTACAATAACATGAACATCTCAGAGAGAACATTTACTTCCACTGACTACAATAACATGAACATCTAAGAGAGAACATATGCTTCCACTGATTACAATAACATGAACATCTCAGAGAGAACATATTCTTCCACTGACTACAATAACATGAACATCTCAGAGAGAACATATGCTTCCACTGATTACATGAATTCCCATGAGGAATTAAATCATTTACAATAAGAAAACAAAAAAACTTTCACACACAGATTGGTGTGTAAGGGCATGCTCAGGTGCTTTGCACTGCAGCCAGCAGTGTTAAGGTTGGCTAGTTTCTCTTTGGAGAGTTCAAAAGTGAAATTTGAGTAGCCTGCCAATGACCCTTATAGCACCCAGGTCAACCTTACTTCCTTGTGGTGTACGTCGGTGGGGCACTCGCTCGCCTGGAAGGAGACGGCCACCAACCAGGTAAGATTTGTTCCTGCCCCACCAAGGAATGGACCTAGCAAGCCGGCAGTGGTGTCTTTGACTGCTACTACTCAATAAACATTGAATGATTATAGGAAAGACTTGCAGACATTGGACCGGCACTGTTCAAGGACAACGAGATAGAACAATGTTTAGAAAGGCTACGTGGAACATTAGCGCAATGGGAGACAAAGAAACTGAAATGGTAGGACTGATGATTACAAATAGAATTAAAATCATGGGAATGTCAGATAAAAGAAGAAGAGGTATGAAAGAATTACATAAAAGCTCAACTCTATCATGGCGTAGCACCCAACCGAATGAGACTAAAAAACATGGAGTGGCACCTAGCTGAACAAGACTAACAAAGATGGAGTGGGTTTCATCAATGTTCCAGAAAAGCTAAATTTATACTAGAAACAGACTACATATCAGAGAGAATTAAGAGCATCAGGCTAGTACTAGGGAGGAAAAGATTACCATACATCCAAGTATACGCAATATGTAATGATACATACAAGCTTAAAGAAAGAAAGAATTCTTCGACAAATTAAGCGAAGCCATCAGTAAAGTCAAAGATACTGACAGCTTGTAATACTAGGGGATTGGAGAGTGCAGAACGCCATGGGAGAGATATCTGGAACCCTTCAACGATACAACAACTGAATGTAATTCTAACGGAGAACAACTGCTCAATCTATGTGCAGAACATGAGTTTGGTTATTAGTGACACATTTGATCAACATCGAAGAAGTCAGATATGAACATGGTATAGATAGAACAACTGAAGTCAAGCATCACAGATTGATTTTATGTTGACAAAAAGGAGAGAAGAGATGGAGAATAAAGAATTCCAGGGCCATCTCAAATGTACTAATAGATTCAGACCTCAGACCAGTGGCACTTTTTGCTCCATAAACCAGCTGGAAGACACCCCAAGAAACAAGTTCAACAAACAGAGGTAATAAACATTGTGAAAGTAACAGATGAAGAAATAAACAGAGCAGTCAGAATCTCCTTCAACACCCTTACAGAAACAAACAACATAGAAGTTGAGTTGCTCACTTTTAAAACCTGCATCCTGAACACAGTGGAAGAGAACTGGGATCTCAAAAAGCTGGGCACTCATAGAAAAAATACAATATAGTGGAATGAAGATGTTAAAATTTATTTCCAAGAAAAGAAAAAATGTTTTTATAAGTGGCAGAAGAGAAAATCAAATGAAGACTATCAGCTAAAGAAAAGAGAGAAAATACAGCAAGAGAAAGGTGAAAGCAGCAAAATCAGAATCTTGGGCAGACTTTGGAGAACAAGTAGCAAAACTATGCACTGTCACCAAGACAGTTTTACAGAAGTGTCAAAACAATGAGACTGAGAGAAGACAAGTTTAACCCATCCACTGTTTTTAACAGCAAGATTCAGAAACAACAAACCAGAGGTCAAGATATTAAACACAGTTGGAAGGAATATTTCAGTGAGCTGCTTAACTATGGAACGAAGTACCAAACCAAAATACATTTGCAAAAGACCATGAACCAAAGATACTGGAATTTGAAGTTGAAAATGCACTTAGACAAAGCAAAAGGTACAATGCAGCGAGAAATGATGGTATTACAACAGAAATGCTCCTTGCATGTAAGACAATAGCAACAGTTTGGTTAACCAGAATCTTTAACATGGCTTGGAGGCAGGGATAGTTTCAAGTGACTGACAGGGAGCAATCATTGTCCCCATTTAAAAGACTAAAGGGGACAAAAGAGACTGAAACATAAAGGGGCATCTCCATCCTGGGACATACTGGAAAAATGTTTGCAAAAGTATTGGAAATTAGAGCTCGACCAGCGCTAGAGCCCTAGTTTAGTAAGAGACAGTTGGGTTTCAGGAAGGGCAAGAGCTGTTCAGATGCAATATTTTATTTAAGTCAGATATGCGAGCAGTCTTTTGAATGGGCAGATATGCGAGCAGTCTATTGAATATAATAGAAGTCAACACCTTACATTTATATCAAGAGAAAGCATTTGATCGAGTCAGCAGATGCAAATTATGGAAAATTCTAGGAGATTATGGTATTCAAGATTCAGCTGTTGGGTAGCATCATGGCTCTTTACCAAGATAGTGCACAGTAAGAACAACAAAATGAATGACAGACTGGTTTCCTATGTGATCAGGTGTCAGACAGGGATGTGTCCTCTCACCATTGCTATTCATCACTTACATGGATAGATTAACAAAGGAGGCAAACACAGACACTGAAGAAATCAATGAACTTGTTTTTGCAGATGATCACTGTCTAATACACCATTAAGAACAGAATATACAACAATATACTGACTCCTTACATCAAACCTGCATAAAGTATGACATGAAAATAAACACCACAAAAACTGGAGTAATGATGACAGGCAGAAAACATAATATCATGAACGTTCATGTTAACGATACTGTAAACAAACAAGTACCAGAATTCAAATATCTAGGAAGCACCTTCAAGTTAACCCCACTGCTCAGACACCCAAATGTCACTGCTCAGACACCCAAATGTCACTGCTCAGACACCCAAATGTCACTGCTCAGACACCCAAATGTCACTGCTCAGACACCCAAATGTCACTGCTCAGACACCCAAATGTCACTGCTCAGACACCCAAATGTCACTGCTCAGACACCCAAATGTCACTGCTCAGACACCCAAATGTCACTGCTCAGACTCCCAAATGTCACTGCTCAGACACCCAAATGTCACTGCTCAGACACCCAAATGTCACTGCTCAGACACCCAAATGTCACTGCTCAGACACCCAAATGTCACTGCTCAGACACCCAAATGTCACTGCTCAGACACCCAAATGTCACTGCTCAGACACCCAAATGTCACTGCTCAGACTCCCAAATGTCACTGCTCAGACACCCAAATGTCACTGCTCAGACACCCAAATGTCACTGCTCAGACACCCAAATGTCACTGCTCAGACACCCAAATGTCACTGCTCAGACTCCCAAATGTCACTGCTCAGACACCCAAATGTCACTGCTCAGACTCCCAAATGTCACTGCTCAGACACCCAAATGTCACTGCTCAGACTCCCAAATGTCACTGCTCAGACTCCCAAATGTCACTGCTCAGACACCCAAATGTCACTGCTCAGACACCCAAGTGTCACTGCTCAGACACCCAAATGTCACTGCTCAGACATCCAAATGTCACTGCTCAGACACCCAAATGTCACTGCTCAGACAACCAAATGTCAC